AAGGGGCCTGAGGAAAACATTGAAGGGTGCGGAAGACTGTCAGGAGCCTGAGGGATGGGGCGGGAGAAGGGGCCAGTGAGGAGCCTGAGGGAACAGTCCAGCTTCAAAGACTGAGAAGGAAATGGGGGGGATGGGAGGGGCCTGGGGACAGTGAGTGACTCAGGGGGATAGTGAGGGACAAGGGGCACAGAGAGGAATCTGGGGACAGTGAGTGACTCATGGAGGCAGTAAGTGACCTGGAGGTCTTATCTGACCACAGTTAGGGATACGCACATTCCCCCTCATTTCTTATCTGGGGAAACTGAGGCCCAGAGGAGGCAGTGGCTTGTCTGATAGCAGAATTGGGCCCACATGAGACCTGCCCATTAGGCGACAGAGCCAGGAATGTGGGGGCAGGTGTCTGGGGACCGGGAGTCAGACACTTGAGTCGCTTGGCTTGGAATGAACTCTGGGCAAGGGTGGGCACAGGGGGAGATGGGCCTGGACTTCCTGGTTCCCTTTGGGGCACAGGAGGCTGGGCCTAGGCTCTCCTGGCCGCCAGTTTGGGGGCAGCGGCTGAAGCGACTTACCTTGGCGAGGGGCCCCAGAGGTCAGCACAGGGGCCCTGGTGGACTTGGCCTGCTTGGGTGGCCGAGGGGTCTTCTTGCGGGAGCCACCACTGTTCTGGGGGGTCCCAGCCGGGCGGGGGGCTGGAGAAGGAGAAGGCCATGAGCCCAGGAACTCAGGCTGGCGTCTGCCAGGGGGCTAGGCTACATTTTCTCAGGGTCCAGGTATAGCACGGAGGGTCTTTGTGATGGGCCCAGAACTGAAAGGACACCGCCCACAGTGAGGCCGCAGGTCCCAGGGCAGGGGGCTCACCAGGAGTTGCGGGGGGCACCTCGGACTCCAGGCTGAACTCCCTGGCCAGCGCTGGCCACGGATCCCCATCCAGGAGGGAGGCTGACCCGTCCCTGGAATTCCCTGCCACCCGCTGGCCTGTGGAGAGAAAGGAGCTGTGAGGGGTGGGGGCAGGGCAGCAGAGGGGGCCCAGAGCCCTGGGGGAGGGGCAGGGGCTGGGACGCCCCACAGCTGGCCCTCAAGGGCTCCGAAGCTGGCACTTGTGAGTGGGGTCCCTGAGGGTTTAGAGGCTTTAGAGGTTGGGGTCTGGACTCCTGGACCGTCAGAGTTCCTCGGGCTGAGGGTCTGCAGGTCGTCCCTGAAGGAGCGAGAGGCAGCTTGCCCCGAACAGCAGGCCAGGCGCCTCTCAGCTGCATAGATGGTGCCCGGGGCCAAGGACTCCTCACTTGCAGACAATGCCCAGGGTTGGGAACCTTTCACCTGGCACACGACCCCCGGGCCAGGGACCCTCACCCGGCACACACCCCTGGGCAGGGACCCTCACCCGGCAGACACCCCTGGGCAGGGACCCTCACCCGGCA